AAAATGTGTATGCCCGCAAATCCTTCGGCGAATTAGCTGTTGAACAATTTCAGTGTAATAGGTGGCAGAGAATTCTGGAAGTTGAAATTAGGATGTCTTATTAACAAGGTGATGGAAAATGCATAAGATGTGTAGTGGCAGCAAAATCTAAATTCATTAACTTCAATATCATGCAAAATAGAGTGTTATACTAAAGGATCAGTGCTCACTTGGCAGCTGCCCGGCTATTCTGGAGGCTGGTGGCCCCTCTTGAGAGACAGAGGCATCGGAAAGAAGTTGCCAGTTTCTGCGAAGGGTAGCGTCTGCTGTGCTTGTGTGGCAGCCTCACTGCCAAGTCCAGGGCCAGTTCCTTAGAATTCGGGGTTCAGGGAGGAGTGCAAGCCGTCCACCACGTAGGCTGGATGAAAAGGAGGAGCTGTCTGGCTGAAGGAGCGAAAAGAAAATCCCTGCTCTCTGAGGCAAGGAGATGTGTGAACTGCCCTAATAATTACCGAGTAAATCTCCATAACTAAGCTGCATAACGCCATTGTTTGACCTTACAAGTTAACCATAATTGCATGATTATGTGCTGTTCTGCTGATGGGTAGGAAGAGGTTTTTTTTTGTGTGTGTGTGTGTCTTGGCTTGCGCAGTGACAAAAGGAAGCACTTCTAGCTAATTAGAAGACTTTATAACCCACCTTAATTGAAAATCCTACTCGGCGGCCTTTTCTGATTTTTACTGCAGCCATTTCTTTCCCTCTGGGACATGAAACTACAGCGCGCCTGTCTGAATCCGGGGGGAAATTTCAGTTCTTGAAATCATTTGGTACTTTTTGTACCTTTTGTTTTCCAAAGCAAAGAATCTATTAGTGATTTGGTTTATAAGTTGTGAAATGATCAAATGCAGCAACTTGTGCCTGGAATAGTGCACTAAAAAATATAGTGTCGCCTCATGGATAGACTCACAATGTGAGTGGTGGTCTCAAAACAAGATGGCACCTCTAGAACTTGATTCACTCTGAACCTACTGTCAAGTAGATTTATAAGAATGGCAGTATGTCATTATGGAGACATATTGGTACATATGGTTTTCATGTAGTGACCTAATACAGTTTTGTGTAGATTTATTTTTGTTTTTTATTTTGAACAGTCAAATGTTCAATCTGTTTTTCATTTGCTCAAAGGTAAAAGCCCATGGAACTTAATGAGCACCAACTTTGTGTACAAATGGAACAGAGCTTATGAAGAAAGATAAGACATGTCTCTCTATACTGAGGTCATTGGCAAATGAGGTTTAACTTTAAATATTATTTCATAGAAGAAAATTGGTGTTAAATTATGGTTACCACAACAAAATATGAACTCCCACTGGGCAGACTGTAGACAAGGGTAACCAGTTGCAAGAATTATTACAATAACAATTCAATTCTAAACAATACTTTTTTCAAAAGAAATAATCTTTATAAGGTACTTTCTGGCACTGTAATTTCTATGCTTCTAAAAAGTAAAGGTAAAAAGAACACCCCCCACTATATCCCTCTGAAGGAGATTCTGATGTTTGTCAGGAAGAATTTGCAGGGATAGGGAATTGGATTCCTAAAATATCTGCTTATTTTCCATAGCTAAACTTTCCAGCTGTTGTCAAGTTAACACAGCTGCTGGTGTTAACTTTCCAGTTCTATTAAGTCAGTTGAGCCCGATCCAAGCTCCAACTTTAACATGACTATTTATCATAAAGCCTGTTAATAGTGTGTCACTCTCTCTGCTCCCCTTGTACTCTGAAGGTGAAATTGTGAAATAAAATTACTTGACAGCATTGTATGATTATTACAGACTCCACACCCTCTGTGGTTTAAGTGGAGCATTGCGATCTTGTCCTTGAGGGATATCCATCAAGTTTGAGTTGTTTTTTTTTTCATTTTTAAAGGGGGTAAGAGCCTAGATTGCAGCTTGATGACAGCTGAGAGATAACATTACAGCATCCTGATTTTGTTCTGCTCAAACATGCAAAACCCACAAATGTACACAAATTATGCCGATTTAGCAAACGCACATTTTACGCTAATGGTGATAAATACATTTTATTATTTTTGTGTGCAGTGCTAAGGATCTGCACCTGTGGCTAGAAGGTTGCTGGTTCAAATCCCGCAGCCGGCAGAGGAATCCTACTCCGTTGGGCCCCTGAGCAAGGCCCTTAACCCCAACTGCTCCAGGGGCACCGTACCATGGCAGACTGTGTGTGTGTGTCTCATGGAGAGCAAGCTGGGGTATGCGAAAAGATAATTCCTAATGCAAGAAATTGTAAAGGGTTAATAAAGTGATGTTATTAATTACACAGTTGTACATATTGAAATGAACATAGGTGCAAATGTGTACTGCATGTTGACAGTTGCATTTAACATGTTGTGTAAGACCAGGACCTGTTTAAACATACATTTTCTGTCATTAAATCTGGATTTCTGAAGAGGATATATTTATTTTCGTATTAATTGCTCAGTAACTTAGATTGAAAGTCTGAAAATGGCATTGCATTCCATGCAATCGGTTCCCAACCTTATTCGGAATTAGGCTGGGTCTGAAAAACGTGTGCAGTCTTGTGTTTTAGGTCACAGTTAACTATATTTGAGTTTATTTTTTTAAATTGAACTTTCAGAATTTGTTTTCATGTGAAGCGGTAGTTTCCCACGCAACTGTAGAAATTAATCTGGAAAACAATCTTTTTTTTGTGAAACGGTCTGTGTAGTTCTTTGTAGTGTGTTCCTATTATTAGTACACATGCACAGCAACATTCTGACGCCCATCCTGCACTGAGGCATGAAAAGTTCCCTCTTCAATTTTGTCTGGTTTTGCATTGGCTCTTACTTTCTATGGACAGAGTGCAACAAGCCGCTTTTAATAATTTAACAACTGGCTCCTTATGCTGTATTCGCTTCTAATGGTATTCCTTTTCAATAAAACAACAGCTGTTCACTTTCTCCATTATTTACATTGTCATGTGTTTTAATATTTATTCAGTTACTGTACACCCTCAGCAAAAAAAACAACAACCAACAAACAGGCTTTGTAACATATAGCTAGGAAGATTCCCACACTTTTTTGCTGAACCTTATCACTCTTTGTTGCTTTTAAAGTGGTTTTCAGGTTTTTTCACTTTTATTTTTCCTGGTGGCTTGGGGCTACAAGCCTTTCTAATTAGAAGATCACAAGTCTGATATGAAATGCAGTCTTTCATTTATTTTAATGTATGTTTCTGTCGGCGTTCTGTGTGGCATTACTGCATATTAGTGCTGCAGTCATTACTTACACCACTTATGTAATCAATTAAAATTTGACTTTTAAAAAATTGCAGCCAGAAAGATAACTCTAATATGGGCAACCGAATTATACCTGTACAATTAGCATTACATCCGTCACTTAACAAATCAAGAATACATATGAAAAATTGGGGGTTTCATGTACAGTATATTATATAAAATGATTGACTTAAAAGTCCAGGACTTAAAAGTCCAGAACCCAAAAGTCTCAAAAGATAATTACTGTGTTTTTTTCTGTTTTCTTAATTCAATATATAAATACAATTTAATTCTCAGCAATCGTACCTGTAATGTTAGTGTGATTATTTCTTCATGATCAGATTTGTTTGTTAAATTGGGGGATAGCCAATTTTATTGCATTTGTCCCCCACACTGAGAAGGAATCCAATGTCTAGCTTTTCAAGTTTAGCTGAACTAGGTTACTTTACCTAATGGGATTGTGTACTGGTTAAGGTTTGTATAACCCAAATCATTAGCTGAAATTCAACCGTAGCACACTTTTCAAAATTTCTGCGAGCTCAGGGAGCATTTCTCATTCTGTAATCTTGTGCACCAGTGACATAAAATGGGAATTCCTTATTCTGGTTCAGTCCTAAGGGAATAGAGGTAGTGAACAGACAAGTATACTATAATAAGTCTGGCCATCCTGGTAATCCTTAATGAGCTGATTGGACTCATTAGACATACTGTAATTTTTTTTCCAACTTAAAGACATTTAGTTTTTGTAGCTCTTTGTCGTATACTAACCCCTTACTGAGGAAGCGCTGAGGTGCAGTCGTTACCGTAATTGAAGGTATTACAAATAAAAGAATTTGGCTTGATCACTTTGTTTTTTTTCTATTTTCTTTTTTTCTTTTTTTCCTCTACACCTAATGAAGCCTGAGGCACTGACAGCTGTCAAAAATACAAATGACGTGTTTTGGGTTTTTTTTTTTCCCCAGTGATTTTTAATTGCAGACTTCTCCGAATGATTAGGATTGTAAGGGTGGCAGATCGAAGTGTTAGTGCTGTACAGCATATAAATATAAATCAAAACCTTTACAGTATATTTGAATAAAATATAGAATAATAGTATATTCTTATTTAAAAATGCATTTGAACATGTGATAGGTTTTTCTGCTTGATATTATAAAAAAAACATTTAAGTTGTGATCCATAATGCATTAAAAAAATTACTGCAAACAACAAATAAGGTTATATCCTAATCTCGCAGACGTGCGAACTTATGTATCTAAGTACCAGTGGCTATCAAAAGTATTCACCCCCCTCCTTCAACTTTTTAACATTTATTTCTCTTACAGTAAGGAATAAAAATGTATCTAATGGGCATGTTTTGCCATTGATCAAGCCAAAACACTGTATAATGAAAAAGCATTGATAGGAAAGCCTCGCTGGTCTCCCCACCATCTTCTAGTTGCTGATCTGGTTTCATGGGGCTCCTAAGACTTGTCATCTGGGATAGGCTGGGTTTTGGGAATAGCTAGCAAGGGGGGTTGGTCTCAGGGGGGGGCAGGCATGAAGGTTTTAGTTTTCTTTTTGTTGTTGTCTGAAAGTTCATTGTTTTTTGCTCGCTGTTCAAATAATGCCCATTCACCGAATAAAATACAGCAAACGGGGTCTAAGGCCATAGAAACGCTTAAAGAATGGCGGTGAAAGAGCCCAAGGTTTTGTGTCCAGTGATGAAACACTCCTCTGTGCTCCCACAGGCCGAGGGCAGAGCTGTGCGAATGAGTAGCCAGGAGGCCCAGAAGGCGGGGGAGGCTGCCCCTCCAGTCTCCAAGGCCGCCATGTCCTCACCCCAGCCTGTCAAGCCGGAGCGGGGTCAGGACTCCGACCCGCAAGAGGTTCCCTGGCCAGACGATACCAAAGAGACCCAGAACAACGGCAAGGACAGCGACGGCCACCTCCCTGCTGAGATCTGCGTCGTCATTGGCGGTTCCCGAAACTCCCAGACTCTTGGTAAGAGAGCTCTAACTAGCCACCCCATCCATTTTCTTAACGCTTCTTCCAGGTCAGGCTTGCAGGAAAGCTGGAGGCTGTCCCAGCGAGAAATGGGCACAAGGCGGGGTACACCCTGGACAGGACGCCAAGAGCACACTCGGGCGCACACAGACCCACGCGCGCACGCTCTCACCCCAGGACCAGTTTTCTCAGAAGCCTGTTAATCTACAGTGTTTTGGACTCTGGCAGGAAACTGGAGCACCTGGACGAGACCCACAGACACAAGGAGAACGTACAAACGCCATGCTGACAGCACCCCAGCAATGCCAACCACTGTGCCACCGTGCCACCCCAGAGTTCAATATCATAATGCTAAACTAAGGAGAAATCTAATAAAGCTGATTTTAATTTTACTGAGTGTAACTTTGGCCAAAATGCTGAAGTCCACAGAAAGCTGTTTCATATTACGGAAGAGATTCGTGTGAGATTTTTGTTTTAATCTTCAATTTTTATAATGCTTGGCAGCCTCAGTCCAGATCTTTAATTTACCTTCAAATAATATAACTGGCAGCATGAGCAGGTTATTCCTGGGGAGAGCTGCAGTTAAAAAGTGCGATGCGACACAAAGAAACAGAAAGCGATGGTGTGAGAGGCTCAAAGATCAGAACTACAAGAAAGAAGCAGATTCAAAGCCATGAATATCTATGCAGCATATGTGGTTGCTGCTGTAATTCTGTGCTGGATGTAGCAGGGCAGTCACCCAAAGGTTTTAAAGTAGCGTACCTGATATATTGTGCTGAAATCTTGTTAGTTGATTATCAAAACGTAACTCTTAAATTCCCAAGAGGCTTTGGCATGACGTTGCTTATTGTTCTGAGAAACAAAGGGTAAAAATCCAAATGCCATTCTTCTTCTTGACCCTTTTATATCACGAGGTAAGCTGTGCTGGGGTCGTTGAACGTTTTACTGCAAGTTTTCAATTGTGTATGTAACTGTGGTGTTGAATTTTCTTTTCACTTTTGTCATCCCAACATTTGACAGGCCCTCAAATGTTTTACCTGAGCTCTGTGATTTGGAGGAATTCAATTGATAGTTGCGGCATAATTCCTGTGGTCTAAAGCGTTATCCTCTCCTCACAGGGTCCTATGTCTGTGGAATATGTGGAAAAAAGTACAAGTATTACAACTGCTTTCAGACACATGTTCGGGCTCACCGAGGTAAGCACTGCCCAGCTTCTCTATTAGATCTTAGTAAAGGCCACAGTGTGCAGCTTTCTGCCTGGGTAGGGTGGGTTTAAAACTGGCCAGAACTACGTCTTCCATGTCCTGCACAGGAGAGTCTCTGGTGGCCCTGCTTGGTATCACCCTGTCGTGAGCAGTGGTTCTCAGTCTTGGCCCTAAGGGGTCACTGGATTTTACTCCAGCAAATGTTTGTTATAACAGCCTAATTTCTATAACTTTTCTATATGGGGCCTATTTTTAAAGGTGCATTAAGCACTTCAAAAGTTGAATGGGATTTGTAACTGATGTCATACCTTGTACCAGTCAGTGAGTTTTAGAACCGTCCTCATTCAGATACGGTGCATGAAACTTTAGAGCAGCTTTAAACAATTGACACCCCCAGATGAAAGTGCACATACTGGGGATCCATCATCTAGTCTGAAACCCATCCTCTTAGTACAGACATCAAGAAGATCAATGGCCTGAATGAAGGTTCTTAGAAGTAGACACCACATTTTCTTTATTGAAATGTTTTAAATTGTTTGACCACCAGAAACAGACACACAGCAAGCCCAAATTCTTACTGGGATAACTGATTTTGTGCAAGGCATCTTCTCCAAAATAAAGCACATGTACCTGAAAAGGTGGCATTCAATTTTGTAGTGCTTAAAATGTGTGTAGTACATTCCACAGTAGTATCAAGCAATTAGTACCGCTTATCAAGTAATAGAAAATGTATGTATAGCAATATTCTAATTTTATCCGGTAGTTCTTTCTAAAATTCTTTCAGCACTTTAATTCCCAGACAAGTCTTCTGACAGCTACCTGTTCTCTAAGTTCCTTTCCTGAGTGCTTTTAGGTGAGGCTATACAGTTGTTTGCTCCAGAGTTCAGTAGCATTTGTATTTTATAAAGATGAATAGTGTTGGGAGTTGGGAAAGAAAATAATGCTCCTCTTTTATCAAGCTGTAGTTGCATTATGAATTGTAATTGTAATGATCTTTTAAAGCAATAAGTACAAATAAATGGCAAAGGTAAATCCAATAGTGTAAGTATAAACTGAATATGCTGTAATAAACTATATATTGGAATATGTTATGACTATCTTGTAATGAGATATGCATGTGTAATAGATGTGATGTTTAATGTTTGGCAATGCATTTAGATGTGCAGAAGCTTTGTGTGTATGTGAAAAGTTTGCCTTTAGGGCACAATAAAAGTTTATCTTATCGGCAAAAGGTCATGGGCACAGACAGTCAGAATGGTCTTTCCTTCATTCTGTATTTTCTTATGTGCTTTTTATTTCATCATTTCATGTTGTCCATGCACATACTGTATACCGGTACCCGGTGGAGTCTCAAACACAACGTTTTCTCTTTTCTCTTTCTTTTCCTGACCCTCAGCTCTTTCGGCAGAGACAGAAACAGGATCTGGGGAGGGAGGTTCGCAGGGTCTGAACAGTAAGATTGTGACTTTAAATCTCCCTCAAAAGTACTCATATATCCATTGCTATTCCATCAATAATTATATTGTACCATGTGTTGTCTTACTTTCCTACCAGTGTTTACCAGTGATTTACTTATTGTTAAACTTCCACTGTATTAATCTGTACACCTAAAGGCAGATATGCAGTCTTTAACTCCCAGGGACAGAGGACAGACTGAAACAAAATAAGGTATATTGCCACCTACTGACTTGTCTCTCCTTGCAGTGCAGAAGGACATCACCCTAATGGCATATCAGTACTATGGCCCAATATTTTCTGAGAAGCAATTTGTCATGTCATTTACCAAACCACTTTATACTTTATACCGGTGTCGCGGGACCTGGAGCCTATCCAGCAAGGAATGAGCACAACGCAGGGTACACCCTGGACAGGACGCCAGTCCATCGCAGGGCCAGTGCAAGCCAATCATATATGGGGACAATTTGGAGGCCACAATAAAAGCAGAGGAGGGAAATTTGGCACGGGCACCGGGGTAACTCCCTACTCTTATCGAGAAATGTCTGGGGATCTTTAATGACCACTGAGAGTCAGGACCTCGGTTTAACGTCTCATCCGAAAGACGGAGATGCAGTTTGTCTTCACATTAAATTCACCCTTTAAGTTAAATTTTCACCCTTTGAGTTGAAGGATGCTGCTCATAGCATCTGGAGACATTGAAAAGGAATCCTCAGTAAGTGCCTGAGGTAGTTTATCCAATTGAACGCTAACATTGAGGATTAAGAGCATCGCTGAAGCTTAGAAGTCTTGCCTTGTGTGTGTTAACAGCCTTTTCTTGTTGAGTGAAACTTAAGTTCTCTAAAGCCTGAAAAGTCATCTACTTCCCCCTGTCACAGTCTTTTTTTTGTTGCTGTTAATGCTTTAATCGCTCATTCATAAGATGTGTGAAATACTAATTAGAATGCAACACTGTAAAACATGGCAAGACTGAACAAGTTTTGGGATTTTCTTTTAGCATGTGTGACTTTCTGTACAAAATAATAATTACCGGTTTTGAAGGGCTCAAAACTACAGGGCCTATATTGAATCTAACACACTTTCTTTTGTGGCTTCCCTAAAATGATTTGCGTTCTGCAAATTGAACTTCTGAAATGAGCCATATTTCTTCCATTTGTAGTTTGCTTTGCTTGGGTTTATAAGTAATAATTGTGTGTTAGCAACCCTAAGCAGACTTTCCTTTTGAAAGAGGCGGAGAAAAGTATAGTAAACCTGAGAGACACTAAATTCGAAACCGAAAGTAAAAGATAGAAATACGCTTGACTGTGCTGTTCTTTTGTCTTTCCAGGTAATTTCCGGTATGCCTGTGACATCTGTGGAAAGAAGTATAAATACTACAGCTGCTTTCAGGAGCATCGGGACCTGCATGCTGTGGATGGTAACATTTTATCTCCCCTCAGTAATTATATAGCTTTATCTTTTGCTGTAAAGCAACAGGTAAAGGAATATTCCATGCTGAAAGGAAAAGAAAAGAATCACAACATTTTGGCTGTGGTGCCTCGCTGAGGTGTCACCTGAAGAAGGCTCCACAACCGAAACGTTGTGTCTCCTTTCCTTCCCTTTCAACATGGAATAAACCTTTACCCGTTCCTTTGCAGCCTTTGCATGCTGACAGCTCCCAACTTGAACTTTATCTTTTGCTCTGTGGGATTCGTAGGAAGAGAACGTTTTGCGAGACATTCTAAGCACCTTGGTCCAGGTTTTTTCAATTCATTTGCAAGTGCAGGGTGCATTTTAAAAGAAAGGACACAATGTTAATATTGGTAAGCAGTAGAATTATTTCACAGTATGGTTTAGATGTTCATGTTGTTTTCTTTCTCTTTGGTGTTGATATGCTTGCTTCACAGTGTATAATTCATACTGTCCCTTGTTTGGTACTAACAGGATAAGCTTACAGTGTGCAGAATCCTCATTGGCGGGAGACAAATCCTTTGTGATAAAAGGAGATGCCAAAACACTCTTTGGCTGTGACATAAGGTCTTTACAAGATGAGCATCTTGTAAGACGAGTAAAATGCGCATCAGTAAATGGAATAGTCTGGTTCCTGCACAGATCACCACTTGACTCAACTGGGGGAAGCAATAGCTCTGTCTGCCTGAGAGTTTTCATCCAGTTGATTACAGAGAAATGAATATTGCACATCTGTTCAGGGAATTGTTTTACCCCGTAAAAATTCCTTTTATATCTTGGCATCAGCACCTTACCCTTCAGAAACTATTGCAGTCTCTAGATGTTCTACCAAATCTGCACCTTATCGTAAACACAGAACAGTCTTGAGTCAGGGAAATCGCTGCCTTTACATTCTAAAGGTCTGCCAGCTCGGGGTTTACTGAAATGAAGTTACTGATCCCAATTCATAGGCCTCAACAGTTTAGTCATTAAGGATTCTCTACAATGGCATAAGCTTTTTCAGGTTAAAGGCTGGAGAAAACAAGCCAAAAGAGTAATTATATAGATTGCGTTCAATCACATTACTTAAGGCAGTAAAACAGAAATGAGGGTGTCCTGAAGTTTTGGTGTTCAAAGATTTATAGCTTTTTAATTTAATAAATTGTTGTTACTTGAAAGCTGTAATACCTCATCAGCGATAGATTTGTTGACTTTCCCATACCCGGAAGTTTAAGAATAATACGTCTGCCAACAAAAACACTTCATGTGAAAAATCAAATGTTTATCCACCCAAATGTAACTTGCACCATTTATTCAAAGAAAATGGAGAAATAAAGAATGTGATTTTACAACTGTGAAAACGTTTCAAATTGAAAAAATCTGTAAATCTCTGTAAGCTTTTGAATATTTCTTCACATAATTACGGAAACAAAAGCAGACTAAACCAAGTGTTTAACCACATTTTGTTGCATAATGATTCATATAATGAAAATTTGACATAACGGAACAGTCAGTCATGGGTTTTATTTTTAAATGTGGAATCCTCAATTTGTTTTTATTTTACCAGCTCAAATTGGATTTGTTAAGTGTTAATCAGCTTAAACAGTTAATCAGCTCACTGCCCTCTTGCTTTTACAAGGGCTCACTGTTAAGACGCGTGTAAAAGCAAGAGGCCAATGAAGACCACGCACGCTGTCTCTGAAATGTGTGTGATGGAGCTGGGTAAACGCTGAGCTCCATGGTCCCAGTGTTATAGGAGTCCCACATGAGCCTGCGCTCTCCATGAGTGTGGTTTCATCATGTCACTGGGGCATTGTTGCAAGCTGAGAATACCATGGTAAAGTCTTGCCCTCTGTCTCTGGTGGCATGCATCATAAGAACGTTAAAAAGGAACTGCAAGTCCAGATTTCTCTGACTGGTAATTAAATTTTGGTAACAGTACAGTTCTTTGACGGTACAGAAAAAATGACAACATTCGAATTAAGCACAAAATCCTGAACTTTGTGAAAGTACTGAACATCGCCATAAAGTCGCAAAGCCCTGGTCTCGCCATGGGAGACAGCACGAGTTTGCGAGAATTGTGACGTGATGCGGCCCTTCCTGCTCACTAGTCGCTGTAATGACTGATGTCGTGCGATGCACGAGCGAATAAGTACAGGTTGTGCAGCAGATATTTCACTGCAAAAAGTTTCTAATGTGATCTGCAAGCAGTTCACAAGTTCCATTTGTCAACAAAACTATCTTGGCGGTCGAGAGCAATATTACTGTGGCGTTGAAAGTGATGTGTTCACAAGCCTGTTTGTTTACAACGTCAAAAGGGCTGCATCACGTGACTGGAAGTTTTGTTACCTCATTCTGAATCATAGAATATGGCATTGCACATAGTTGAAGATTTCATCAATTGCTTGTAAATTGGAGGTTTTACAAGTTACTGTGCACATTTTAGTTTTTTTGTCGTTTGAAATGCAACTGTCTATACCCGCACTGTAGAACATGCGTAGCTGGACTGAAATGAAGTATACCTTTGCCAAGCAGAAAATACACTCTCTAAAAGACCTTTACATGTACTGTAAGAAGCATCTTGGCTGATTTGATCAGTTCCCTATCTCTTTCATCTTGGGTTACACTAAAACATGCATATAAGAAGAAAAATTGATTTTGGATGCTTTCACGTACGCTAGGTAGAAATTTCCAGAAAGTCTAACATGTCCTGGCATGTAGTTCAAACCTTTACATGTCTAATGCAAAAATGTTTATACCTGAAGTGTGAATAATAATAGGAAGAAATTAATACGCAGCAGCCATTAAAGATCATCTTATGTGAGACAGAAGTGGTAACACCATTTTGCCAGAGTGCCAGAACATACAGTCTTGTCTGCCGGGCATGTGGGAAAGCATCAATAACAGTTTTTTATGAAGCGTGTCCTGTCTGTTTTTTATACAAACGGCACATGTTGGATATTTTGTGGAATTTACAGTGGCTGATTTGTGCTAAGCTCCTCGCAGCACAACCGCATGGCCACAGGTGCTCACCAGCAGCAATCGGACAATTGACTGCACAAAACATTTTAAAGAAGATGGATAACCATGAATACGAGTACCAGCATTCAAGCCACGTACTGTACAGCGTTTACGGACATCGCAGGGCTCAAGTGACACATGCACACTGGCCTGTTTCGAGAGAGAGCCTGACACAGTTATGCCAAATGCCCAGCCCCTGTTCCTGTTCCACAGTAAGGACATGAGAAGAACTCATTGAAGAACTTTGAGCTTTTTAACTTGCCTTTTGAGATACAAAAATTCTCGAGTGAATATCCAAAGACATCAAACAACCACCATTAACAATGGCTAATGCTCTAGACATGTTTAGTGGTGTCATTTATAAACTTTGAACCTCTAGAAGAAATGGGTTTTTGAGTTTTCACATTGCATAGTGTCTCGACAAGGTGTGTGACTGCCATTTCGATTTGCAATCTGCCATGTGTTGTGACTGTCACTGCCCTGTCTCTGCAGATCCCTATGACCAGAACGTTATCCCAGTGGACGACCTAAAAGAGGAGGAGCAGGCGGAACCTTTCCAAAAAATAGGACCAAGTAAGAGCCCTCTGCTGTCTGCTATTCAGTGCGGTATTGAAGAGGTGGTTACTGGGTGAGGAGCACTGTAGAACATCTGAAGCAAATAGTTTAACTGTGACACTAATCTGATTTTATCAAAAGATCTAGTCAGATTTGATCAATACTAGAACGTTTAAAAGGGTAAAAAGGAGCAAAGATCATTTAGCCCATTTGATTGCTTTTGTCGCTTATTGAATCAAGGATCTCATCCAGCTATTTACATGATCAAGGCTGTATGACAATTCAGTCGTTTCATACAATGAGTGATTTGTGTTTCGGATTATGTAGTGCAGCCGGAGGAGAAATAACTAATTGGCAATTTCACAGTACAGGCAATGGGGAAGCTACAACCTTCCCTACAGTTATAGAGTGAGATCAAGGCCTTAGCCGTGTGTATTTTCAGTTTTCTTCCTCTTCATGTCCGTACATGTTTTTGTACTTCTGCAAGAAGCAGGGGATATGACAAAGGATCTCTGTCAGCACGACTGCAGCTTAAGAAAGCACAAAGTTATTGGCACTGGAGACGAATGCTCTGATTGTCGTCTATCTTCTGGAGGGGGTAGAACATGAGTGGTCATGACTTGAGGCTCTGTACAGGCTATCTGTGGAGAAGGGTCTGCACACGTGACCCAGTCTAAAAACAGAGCACTCTGAGGTGATCTGCTTGTTCTGTACACAGACCTGGTCTATACTAAGGACGCTTCACAATAGCGCGTCTTGTGAAGAGAAACATGCAAAGCGCCTTTTGCATTGCAGCTTGATCCATTTTAGGTTTTTTTCTGCTTTTATCCAGAGCCTGGTGCCAGCTCGGATATTTCAGACTTGTTTCCTTGAATAACTGTGAAGGGAAAGAAGACTTTTAAGTCAAATACAATGTGTGTGTTTTAGTTTCTTCTGTATAAATTGTACAAGAGCTTGCAACCCCTAAATGCCAGAGTGGATGGGCTCAGGAATCTCCATCTGTTTTTTTTAATACAGTCCCTCAATCAGTTGAAAATATAGTATGAAGTGCTGTATGGTCTCAGGAGCACAGAGGACAGCTTAATTATATCTGTTACAACAGGACTGCAGAATGAGCTCTATCCGCATGGAATAATTATAATAGTAGGCAACACATCTCATCTCTCAGTTAGCCATCTCTTTTGGGTTCTCAGTTAAATTTCAGCTTGTTCTATAAGACATTTAAGTTTGTGCTTTAACATTTTAGCTGCAAACCTGACTGTGCCAAACAAGTGGGAAGTGTTAACATTCTCAGATCATTCTCCTGTAGTTTTTCGTATACAGTTTATGTAGTCATTATACTAAGAGTTCGTTTTTGTTTTCCTTCTCTTCACAGAAACGGGGAATTACGTTTGCGAATTCTGTGGAAAACAGTACAAGTACTTCAATCCTTACCAGGAACATGTAGCTCTGCACGCACCTATCAGTAGGTGGCTTTCACTGAAGTCTAACAAAACATTTGCTTTCAAGATCCGCACGTGGAATTCAGTTCCAGAAGAGCACAATAAAAATACAAGTGATTTAAGTTACATACTGTAGAACTTAATTCACCAGTATTAAAGCTCACACGAACCTTAATAAACAATTAAATAAATCATTACAAACCATTTTTAAATTCAACCAGTTGGAAGAGGTGTATGAGTTCCCATGAACCTAAAAATAAAATCAGATTACAGTTACTGGTAAGAGAAAACATCAGCACTGACCAGACCTTTAAGGGGAACACACATCACAGTGGTTGAGGGAAATAAAAATTGTCAAGACCAGAGAGCAGAGATGTCTTTTTGTTTCATTAAAAATAATGTGTTTCTGGCAGCAATATTGCAGAGACTTCAACCAAGTGTAACACGTCAAAAGACATCCGTCAGTTGTAATTCTTTTGGAACGCAGGAGTTACTTGCAGGCCAGAGTCAGCAAAGCTGACTTGCTACATATAGACCAATTCCCAGCAGGGAGTAGGAGGTGGACTGAGTAACATGTTGGGAGAAGGGTCTGGAACGTGATTAGAAATCTGATGGGTAGCCAGGTGAGCGGAATGTTTTCATACCAGATGGCCAGTGTTCCTTGAACTTGTGGTTATGGATCACTTAACATCCCAATAAGGGATATTAAATACAAGTGTGTAGAGGAGGAGTTTAAGAATTGCAGATGATGTGATATCAAAATGAACTTTTCTGTTTCTTGTGTGATGTAAGAGGGACCAGGTAAGTAGGGCTGTGGAATGCAGAGGTTCAGCACACAGCTGTGGTTGACTCAGATCACAGCATGATATACTGTAGGTGAGGGGCTAGTTTTCAACCATTTTAATCAGATTGATGCAGAAAATAACTGGATCCTAAATGTTGTGATGCAGGACAGTACAGTCATGACCAGCAGCGTGACTGATTAAGAGTGGTAGACAAAGGATTTTAGCAATTAGCACTTATCAGAAAACACCTTAGAATTGAGGTGCTTCACAGCAATTCTCAGGCATGTGGAGTCAAATCCTTCAGTAACCTAAGCCATTAAACACCCTCCGAAGGGAAGACAGAAACCAACATTTAAAACATCTAATTAACAATGCCTAACGATTGAAACAACACTAGCATATATAATAATAAGAAATGCAAAATACATTAATATTTTTTCTTGACTTTACTTCTGATAAAGCCTTCATTATCTTGGATGCTGTTTTGTGCAGAGCTGACATTTCACAGAACAAGTGATGCCCCCTGGTGGCAAAGCCTGGAAGTTTGAACATTTCAGCTGGAGTAACCCTGTGTGTATGCACACTTGTGTTTGTTACACAGCTTGTTACAATGTTACACTTGAGGAATTAGGATCAACAGGTTGTAGCACGTAACCACAGTGTAAACCCTGTGTGCTGTTGTAAATAAAATGGTTTATAGGATGGCTGAAATCTTACAGTGGTGATTTTTTTTATATAGTTCATCTGACCATTTTGAGTGTTTAGAAGTGTAGCAATATGTATTAAGTTATGTGCGTAGTGTTTGTTTATGTAGCTGGAAAGGCACTGAAAAATCATGTCTTTAAGGGCTGTCGTCCTGGAAAGCCAACACAACAGCTGTTATGCAAAATGGTGCCATGCTCTGTAAATGAAATGTGTTACCTGGGGTAAAAATGATCATCAGAGTATAAATTGCATGTAGAAATGCTATATATAGTCTAAATTTCACATGGCTTCAGGTGATGATGGAAGTGTGCTCAATCAGTGGAAAAGTCTATGCTGGCTACCGATCAGAACCCAGTCCTGAGAAAGTGGGACAAGCTCTAAATCCATCACCATGAATCCATGTGGATGTGTATCTGAAAGATCTTGTAGACAGTGTTTATTTACACATAGCCGAAGACTGAAAATCACCCTGTCTTTTTAGTTTCCCCTGAGTTCCAGTCTGACTGTGTCCTTACAGAATGCAACTGACCTAGCGAAGGAGATACTGAACAGGTTTTGAAAAGGGACATGGATTTTCCATTTTCTGAGAAGAATTTGCAAGCTATCTTTGTTAATTTAACTATTCATAATGTTTAGATGAATACAACCTTTTCTTTACCCATATTTATTATGAATACATTGATATAATGGTCATTTTCTTTTAAAAAACCCAATGGTAGACATTTTTTGAGCTGCGTGTAAAGAATCCACAAATGGAAAAAAAGGAATCCTTCACAGCTTCATTTAATGCAAATGATTCAACAAATTTAAAGCAGCCCTGTACATACTTTTTGAATTCAATTGTGTACGCGGGCTTTCAACAAGTTCCAAAAGTCCACTTGACTTTTGATTGATTTACTCAATCTCTGACTCGGTGAGACCCACAATCCTTTGGAATGTTCATGGATTTAATAGCTGTTATTGAAAGGCCTTCTTATTCTATAACTGGTAATGCAGTCCTGCATAAAAGATTTAGTACTCAGAATTAAATTGCATTCAATTTGAAGGTGTTGTTAAAGAGATGCTTCATTTCACATTTCCCTGCATAGACAATGTGCCATCACATGTGGGCGTTGGATAGAAGGCAGGAATGTGGTCATTAGCTTCAAGTACTTTTGCAATATCTGCCTTGATTGCCTCCTTTCAGAGTTGCAGGGAAAGGAATCTTAGAATTTATTTTCTTTGGATTTTGTGTTCTTTAGGTGATAAAGCAGATTGTAGATTTCACAGACAAAGAGATTAAAGGGGTGCCTAGTTTAGAAAACCGTGGTCTGCTTGAAAGCCTACCCCTGTGTTGGGGTGATCATTTTGTCACCTGTATTTTGGGGTTTAAACAGTGACTGCCGGATTCTACCCTCAAGGATTCTACCCTATTATTTCCCTTTTATTATGTAACAGAAGTCCATAGTTGGCTCCTATATAACAAATATGGGTCAACAAAGACATATCCGATTAATCAAAGCTGTTCGTCTATTGAATGTGTTTGGGCTTTGTTTTCAGATTGTGGTAGACGCTTTTTCCAAATATCAGTCACTGATACTGCAAACAACATGTAGATTGAAAATAGAGGTAAAGACAAGGATTAACATCATAATAATAGATTCTCCTTCCTTTGAGGCGATTTGACGGTTTAAGGGGGGGGATCGACTGAAAAAAAGGTTCTGTCGGTCCTCCCTCTTGCTCTGATGCTGAGTGATGAGGTGACACAGTAATGACACAGGGTGCTTGTTCACTGCAGTAAACAGCAGTTCAGCAGGGAAATGGCACTTTCTTTCTTCGCCAGCACCCTGCAACTGACATCCCACTGAGGCTCAGCAGGTGTGAGCCTTGTCAGTACCTGGATGGGAGACCTCCTGGGAAAAACTAAGGTTGCTGCTGGAAGAGGTATTAGAGGGACCAGTAGGGGGCGCTAACCCTGTGGTCTGTGTGGGTCCTTATGCCCCAGTATAGTGACAAGGACACTGTCACAGAAAATGGTGTCGTCCTTCGGATGAGACATAAAACCGAGATCCTGACTCTCTGTGGTCATGAAAAATTCCAGGGTGTTTCTCGAAAAGAATAGGGGTGTAACCCTGGCTTCCTGGCCAGATCTCCCACTGGCTTTTACCAATCATGGCCTCCTAATGATCCGGATCTCTGAACTGGCTTCATCCTTCTGTTCTCCTCCCCACTGATAGCTGATGTGTGGTGAGCTCACTGGCGCACTCTGGCTGCCGTCACATCATAAAGCTGGGGCTGCACATTGGTGGGACTAGTGGGATTTCCCCATTACCCATAAAGCACTTTTTTGGTGGAGTGTCCAGAAAAGCGCTATATAAGTGTAAGGAATTATTATTATTCTTTATTGACAAAGTTATTTATGCAGGTTGGTCCCTTGAGATGCGAGCACCTCGTTCACAACAACATCCAGCAGGCAGCATCAAGCTTGGCACACCAAAAACAGAACACAACCAAATAGGTAAAGAACAATGGGGTCTGGTTCATGGCCCACAGAAGCACAGCCCTGTGAGGCTGACTGGAGTGGATAGTGCCAAGAAATAGCTTTCAAGGCGACCTTTTCGCCACAACTGCAAACACACTGCATCCTATGGCCCGAGGGTTAATAATAAACATGTTAATGAGTAGGGGCATTTGCAGATCTAGAAGTAAATAACAGGGTTTTAAATCGGGCTCTCTCCCGTGTTTAAAATGTCTTTTCCTGCTTTTGTAGCATTAGTCTATGCTTTCCGTCTGAGTGTTACTCATGGCAGTTGCTGTTAGACACAGATGGCATAGTGTCCCTCTACATACTGAACTGCACTTGCACAGTGTTATGTTCTTATTATTTTTTCCCCCCTTTGCCCAGTTGTGTGTTCTTCCTCTTCAACGCAGGACGCCCGGTGGGCTTTGGTCTGCAACAGTGCTGATTTCACCGTGACTCCTCAAGTTGCCGTGGTGCTGTAATTGAGAGCACTGGGCCAGCGCTCTGAAGTCCTTTCTCCGTTCACACACTCTCCCTCCACTGCTTTGTGCCACCAACTGCCATGCAGTTCTATTTTAAGTCTGGCACCGTTTAATTAGGTCACCATCACTATGGAATGAAAGTTTCACCAAGAAGAATGTATTTTACTGGGGATGAGAACTACTGCGTGATTATATGTACCCATTGTTACCATTAGTCTTTGAACAAAGCTGTAATGTGTCACTTAGCACTGTTCCTACTGGTCCTACAACAGTGGTCTCCTGGAGAGGAACCCTGGTCCTGGAGAGCTGCAGTCACTCTGGAGTTGTCGGTTATTATTCTTCCAGTAATTAAAATATTAGGATTTAAGTGAGGTCCAGGCTGAAATGAAAACCAGCAGAGTGTGTACAGTAGCTCTCCGGATCCCGCAGAGCTCCTGTTGGGATTCTAAATCGTGTCTTTCCGTCCTGTTTTACAGAAAGTGCTTTTTGCCGAAAAATGGAAGGCAAAGTGCAAAACAACGTGGAGGAGACCAACAGCTCACACAATTCAAGTGGTGAGTGACTTCATGTGCGGCCCACTGCTCTCCTGCCTGGGTGGTCCGGCCTTGTCTTATTACAATGGCTACTCGGGGAATGTTCAATGATGTGATGGAGGGCGGTGTTGCAAACAGGAGTTTGCACCACAACAAAGGCCCAAAACGCATAAATGTCTGACAGACATGGAGTTTCCACCTCGGCTCTCCTCGCAGTGTTGCTTTTATTTATTCGTAAAACAAATAGAAACTCTCTGTGGAAAAAAATAAATGCGAAACTTGTGCGGGAGGAGAATGTTTTGGTAACTGATGAATAGTTGAAAAGGCAAGTGGCAGCCACACGTCTAGTATCGCTGTTTTTTTGGAATTGTTTCGTTTGAAAATATAGGCTTCCTAGGAATTCTGTTCCTTCATTGACCAGGCTTTCGGGGAAAAGGCTTAGCGGTAGGTAATGCGCGCAGTTTCTGTTTCCACAAATTTTTCCAAATCTTGAAAATAAAATGTTTTTTTATACACAAAAGGTCATTTTCAGGATGTGGAATTTAAAACGGCCAGTTTTGCAGTTCTACGTTGTTGTAAACAACAGCTCTCCATTAATGCCTATTGTGGTACTGGACATTTTGTTGCTCTTAGAAAATGCTTTTTTCCCCCAAAGTAGAGTTTTACCAGGGGAATTGGGGAGGGATGTACCTTGCTGAGATATATTTTGAGATATAGTATGTATATTCTACAGACCTCTTGTCCAGTTTCATAAGCACTGTTCCGCACTGTTAAATTCCATTTTAGAGCTTCAATAGTCAACTTTATATCTCCGCAACAAACAAGGGATACAGATCAAGAAATTGGACGACTATAAACAACTGTGACCAAAGGGTGCCGTGTAACAGATTGAAATTACTCAAGTCTCCCAACTATAATATTTACTTTTCCAATTGGTACCAACTCCATACCTGTGAGAATGGCTTTGTGAAAGTAATCGATAAAATGATGTTGCCTTTTCCTGAAGACAGAGGCCAGAGGCCCTAGAGCAGGGGGCTTGAGACCCCAAGGAGTGGCTATTTCTGAGGTTGAACTGAGCCTCAGCTCGGCAGTATCCCAGTAATGAAGTTAACCAGGCGATGAAGCAGAACTAACAAGAACAGGGATTTAATATTCATCCTCCTAGTCTCTGGTCTGGCAAGGGTTGTGGCAGTGTGTTGCTTTGCTATCAGGAGAGAAATCAAATCCAGAATTACGGGGAAAGAAATGCAATGTCAGGATAAATGCAGAACCACAAGACTCAGAATGTGAGGGGTTTACAGTACAGTTGTTTCTAAAGTCAGTTTTGTATTGAATTTGCTGTACTTGTCTTTTGTTTCAGGGGAGAAATCCAAAACATCTGTGGTCTATAGTGTTTGTAGGGGGTTGTTTTTCGTTAAGCATGTCTGGATGTTTAAATTCCAACCAATTTTGACATTTTCCAAGACACATCAGTTTGGAACTGAAATCTCAGCCCATGACTTCCAATTATTTTGTTTTACCACCCAAATTGGGGGACAAAAGATAAACTCTTAATCTTGGCAGAAATGGGATGTCTTACTCAAGTTACTGTTCAGTCTCTCTCATTTCATATTTGACAGCTTCATTACAATAGGATTTCTTTGCTGTCACTTGTATTATTTCTAATATAAACACACTCTTGTATAAACATGCAGAATTCATTACCTTTATGGAATTAAATCTTACTTTACCTCCACATATCCGAGTTATCCTGGACAGGTTTCTCAGAATAGAACAGTAGAGAAAATTGTTTAGATGGCTTACATTGTGTTTTTAATTTGATTTTCATGTGACGTTTCTATACTCTCAGCACAAGCAAAACAAAACTCCATTTTCCTGTCATGAAATAAAATGGGATTGAAAATGCGGAGAATCACAGATATGACAGTTATGGATTCAACTATTCTAGACACCTGTCTCGATGTGCAGTTGTTTCCATGTCTTTTGGAATTTAATAGCGGGAATGGAGGAAAATATGCTAATGTGTGTTTGTGTTTATTAGTTTTAAACAAGTACTATTTTGCCATTCATTTTGTGTTATTCATAAGATATTAAAAGTGTCTCTAATTAGGGACTGAATTAACTTGAAAAGCAGACCACATAAGACATTGGGGACATTTTCAGTTGAGCTCCAGATAGTGTTATAGTCTATGCTTTTAGTAAGTAGGGTAGTTAGTTAAAATTTGGTGTTGGAAATGTGCTCAGTAGGTTGTGATTCGAAACTATTCTGGGACATATTAAATATTACTTAGCTTAAATATTACAAGAGCTATACCCACTTTTGTCATTCATGTCCCACGAATAGTGATATTTCTAAAAGGCAGAAGAAGGAAAAAGAAGACAGGACTCCATTTGTATTCAGGCCCTTGTTTGTTTCTGTTGAGAAGGTCAAAATGTTATAATGTTTAAACTTCTTTGAAAATTTGTACATACCCCTGCAACGATGCTTAAAATAATGAGCCGGCGATCTGTATAGAATAAGAATCCTCAGTTCTGAGTGTTTTGCAGTCCTCTGAGGAAGATTCTTCCCTGCTACTAACACTGCTTGCACACAACACTGCTTTTGTACACTGCAAAGGAATGGTCTAGCTGTCAGGTGGAACAGTAACATTGATGGAGACTAAACGAGGAGTTTTCTAACCAGCTCTTGAAATGACTGAACAGATTTCCATTTGTTTAGTATATGGGAATCCTCATTCGGCCTGCCATTTCCTATACGGTAAATGAATCTTATCTCCCACAGGTGGGACAAGTCCTGTGGTCTCCAGCCCTTTTCCACTCCTACAAAGTAAGTAGGTTACTTAATAAAAAAATAACTTGTTTCTGTTCTTGTCTTCCATGGTGACCAGTCTCTGAACAAAGTGTGCTGTTTATTCTTCATGAGAGAAAGGGGATCTCAAAGGTCAGTGTGCATTTGCTGGCCAGGACACTGACAGATCACCAAGGTGCAGACTTCTGCAAAAACGTTGTGATCTGTGGGGACAGTTAAAGAACTTTATGTTCAGTTCAGAGATGCCCGTTTTCTTTATCTCGGAGATCTCTGACTGGTCAAATCTTCAAGGTAGCTTTCCCTACTACCTTAATGCTTGCACATATCGATGCCAAGTACCTGCCAGGTCTTCTGATAGTCTTTCACTATATGTTATGTAGTTTTGCGATCTGCCAGGGTACGCCTGAAATGTTTGCATTGTGAAACCAGTATGGCTGCAGTTTGTAGGTCTCTATGACTGTGAAAGTTGACAGAAGGATTGAAAATATTGCTGAGCTTGTTAAAAAAATTGAGAGATGCAATTTTCGGTAGACAGTCACCATATTTCTAACAGGAATCCTTTAATGACAAGAGGCAGTTCTCAGAAATTATTTTTTTTTATAAAGAGAGCTTTTTGGATAACAACAGTGATGCAGTCTTAATATTTGCTTCCTGTGATTAAACTGCACATGGGTCTACAGTTTGTACGCAACAATTACAGAACATGTAGCAGCCTTCACAACATGGCAGATTAGGGAGCTTCTGAGTGTCTCAACCTTTTAAGGAGTTAGCCCATTTGGAGTATGTGCTGAGCTCTTGGATTATCGTTAATGGGGTTCACTGAGCTTGTGACCCCTAAGAGTTGTCTGTGAAATCATGAATTCCCCCTTCTCCCTCAGTCAATGCATACTCTTCTGTTGACTTTGTGGGGCTCGCAGCCTGTAAAATGGTATAAAATGTGCCACCCTAATTCTGTTTTCAGTCAAAGAGGTGTTCTCATAATGAGCTGAGTTCATGTGCACACCTGGGTAGCGTGGGAAACAATTGGGGATTCAGAAATAAGAGCAGGAAAGGCTGGATCAGCCTTCTGCGATCTGTGCCCCAGAACGCAGTTTTGTATTGAGGTTCTTTACAGGGCGAAACCATCAGTCTGCTATTCCTACCAGGGCGAAAAAGATTCAATGCAAAAACAAAACAAAGTGTCAGCTCTTGAAGCATATAAAATCTAAAGCAGTACAAATAATAGCTACTAATTTTATGCAAGATTTCTAAGTATTATGCGTTCACTGTAATAACTTTTTTGACTCTGTATGAATAAAAGCTTGCACTTTGTTTATTACAATTTGTGTACAAATTTAGTTTATAGTCACTTCTTTGAATTAATCTCCCATCATGCCTTCCTTGTTCTTTGGTTTTGTAATGATGGCTGCTGAAATAGCTCTGTCCCCTGGTATTAACCAAAACAGAACCAGCTCTACTTCTGTCTGTGCGTCAGATTGGCGTTGCCCGTGCCGGAGGTGCCGATCTATACTACGGCTTCACTTTGTCACATCCCTGCCTGTGACCGCTCATTGCGTCAAGTCCAGTGTGGACAGAGCTTGGCTTTCTGCCTTAGACTGAGCGGATCTCTGTGCTGTGTTTCAGAACCGTACACATGCGGAGCCTGTGGCATTCAGTTTCAGTTTTACAACAACCTGCTGGAGCACATGCAGTCCCATGCAGGTGAGTGCTGTGGAGTAAGACGAATAATGAGCAGCACGAGGTGATAAGAAATTCTGGATTGATCATAAGAATGACCTCGCCACTTTCACGGGCTGTGGAACGGTGGTGGGCTGTGATTGGCTCTACGGTGGCTGGGAAGCGCTCGGGGCAAATGGGTATTTTAGTCCGTATGGAACAAGATACCCAGCCATGTTGTTGAAGCCAAAACCTTGGATTCTTTCAAGAAATGGCTGGAGGAGATCCTTTGATCCATTAACTTCTAAATACCAGTCAGGCTAGGTGGGCCTCCACCATAGTAAGACAAGTACGTGTAATAATAGGTAACGAAGTTAGATGAAGCTTAGTCTATTTGAAAGCGTGAGAATATCAGACTTGCCAATAGTGTGAAAAGAGGTTTGGTTTCTAGTTGTACAGTGCTGGTGCACAAGAATGTCAGGGAAGACTAGCATCTCAGCTGAACAGTGTTATTTTGAGGCTGTGCGGTACTGTTTGTGTGGAGGGCATCCAGTCTATCATGGCTCATTCACCACATTTCCGTGCTTTGCTCTTGTTTTATGATGGCAGCGGACAATGAAAATCGCATCAAAGTGGAACAGCCCAAATCCTCTCCTGCCCCAGCAGCTCAGGAAAAGCTTTGGAAACCCCCAGCTCAGAGAAATCACACCACGAATTGTAAGTACCACGTATTTGGCCTTGGGAGCGGAGTTCGTAATGTACCTCTCTTTAAGGTTCTGTAAAACAGCGATCCGAGGGTTGTAAATGAACTCGGGCAGCAAGGTGAGCGAAAAAACAAGCAGTCCAGGATCATGGTCTTAGTAGACAAGGGTCCAAAGTCTACGCAAAAAAGCACAGAACAGAAATCCACAAGCCAAGGTCGGGACAAAGCACAAAAGTTCCTAGCACAGGTGATATATAAAAGTGTGTAGCACAGGAAGATCCAAGAGGTGATGGTCAAAAGCACTGCAGGGTAGAGAAACCACCCAAAGAGCAAGCAAGGAGTCGGGGAAACGGAACTCGGAACTTGCAAGGCTCAGTAGTAACATCTGATCAAGGAAAAAGGAGCACTGCTCAGTCAGACCTTAAATGGCCTGCTTCCCCAGAACACACGGGAGGAAGTGATTATCCTCATGTGTAGCACGCTTCCTGTCCGAATCCGTTTTCTGCAGGAACCAGCCTGACTGACAGGTGGGACAAGTGTGGCTGGGTGCCGTGGTAGGACTAGCCTACTCCACAGCACACCAGCAAGGACAGGTACAGTAGAGTGAAGATGCTGGGAATACTACTCTTTCCAAATCTCCAACCATAAAAAGCCCACCACTACACTTGGAAGGGGGGCATCTTGCTCTTCTTGAACACATTATACACTGAATGTTTTTTTTTTCATTTAAACTTAGATCACTCCCTTTTCAGTGCCGCCTTCTCATTTTTAAGAAATCTTATGTTCTTCTCAAAAGTAAAAAACATTGTTGGGCACCAAGGTCTCCTGAATAACACTTTTTGTCTCGGGGTCTACCCTCCATTTCCAGACCGTTTTCTTCAGCTTGCCTGGTCAGTTCTTCTTGCCGCCACTCATTCCCTTCTCTTTTCTCTCCGGCGCAGCCAACAGCGTCTTACCTGAGAAGGAGAGGCAGCAGGTTGCAGAGAGACTCCTGAAAGTGATGTACGCCGACCTCGGGGCGCTCAGCATCCTGAACGGGAAGGACTTCATGAAGCTGGCGCAGACCCTGGTGGACACGGGGGCGCGGCACGGGGCCTTCTCCGTGCGCGACGTCCTGGGAGACATGAACACCCTGGCCCTGAAGCAGCTGCCCCGCATGTACAACCAGGTGAAGGTGAAGGTGACCTGCGCCCTCGGCTCCAACTCCTGCCTGGGCATCGGAGTGACGTGCCACTCTCAGAGCGTGGGGGCCGACTCCTGTTACGTGCTGACGGCCTACCAGGTGGAGGGCACCCGCATGAGGCGCTACGTGCTGGGCGTCAAGGAGGTAGACTTGAGGGAAGGCGGGGATCAGGTCCACCACTGGGTGCAGAACGTCCTGTCGGAGTTCGTCATGTCGGAGATTCGGACCATCTACGTGACGGACTCTAGAGTGGCCTCCACGCCGTTCTCCAAGGCCGGCATGTGCCTGCGTTGCGTGGCCTGCTCCCTGAACGCGGTGGTCCAGAGCGTGCTCAATAAGAGGAGCCTGCAGGCCCGGGGACTGCACGAAGTTGCCGATCTGTTGATCACCTGCAAGGACATGGCGGGTTCTGCCGGCTTCTCCCGAGAGACCTTTGGCTCTCTGCAGGAGGTGCTGTTGCCTCCCTGCTGGGACTCCCTCACTGAGTCGCTGCTGCTGGTGAACGAGCGCTACGAGCAGATCTGCGAGTTCTACAGCAGGGCCAGAAAGACGGCCCCCCTCCAGAGCTTGAACAAGCACCTGCTGAGCAACCTGGCGGCCATCCTGACTCCCATCAAACAGGCAGTCGTGGAGCTGAGCTGCGAGAAGAAGCCCACTCTGCAGCTGGTGCTGCCCACCTACGTGCGCCTGGAGAAGCTCTTCACCACCAAGGCCAACGACGTCAGCGCTGTGAGCAAGCTCTGCCACTTCTTCCTGGAAGCCCTCAAGGAGAACTTCAAAGTGGAGCGGGCCCACAAGGTGGCCATGATCCTGGACCCGCAGCTGAAACTGAGGCCCGTTCCCTCGTACCAGCACGAGGAGATCATCGGCAAAGTGTGCGAGATCATGGCGGAGATCCGGGACGCAGCGGGGGAGGAAGGCGACTCCGAGGCACCAGTCGGGAAGAAAGCCCGGCTTGCGAGCAATAATGTCAAAGCTCAGGGAGGCGACGAACAGCAGGTGAAGAATGAAGTCTACCAGTATCTGGCTGAGCCCCTGTTCCATGCCACTCCGGATCTCTTCCAGTACTGGTCCTCCGTCACCGAGAAGTATCCCAAACTGGCCAGGCTGGCTCTGTGGCTCCTCTCGGTGCCTGCGGTGGGAGCCAGGAGTGAATCCATTAGCATGTGTGAGCAAACGCTTTCTCTGAAGAAGAGAAGACAGGTGACCCCAGAAGAAATGAATAAACTTCTCTTTTTAAAGTCTAACATGCCTTGAAATGGAGATGCATTGGAAATCAGAGATCCAAAATCCTTTTTTTTTAATACAAAGCAAGGTGCTAAACCGATAGGAGGCCAGGGACACAGAAAACCCCACAATAAAGGAACAAGGGCCCCACACCTGGAAGTTCAACTTGTTCAACTTGTTTATTTTTATTTGGATGTCGCATAATTAAATGCAGTCTCACTCGGTAAAGTCCAAGCTGCTGTCTGGTAATGTACCAGAATTCTTGTTCTGATCGTATTGTAAGTTGCAAAGCTGTGTATGGCTGGACCTGATTTGTTTCAGTGCAGTACAAGTCAATTTTATGGTTGCCTTCTTTTTCCTTTTCTTCAAGCCGATTGAGGAGACTAGAATTGTTTTTACGCTTTAAAATGTTAATTTAGTATTAAGACCAAAACTTAAAACACTAGGAAACACTTCACTGCTCATCTCCAGAATGTCTTTAATGTTATTTTTTTTTAGTTTCGGTTATTGATTTATGGTCAAATGGCTTTGAAATTCCTTGATATAATTCTGCATTTCCAGTCACTTCCAGTGAATTCATCTTTGTCGTGGGCTTTGTCTTTTGCCCAACAGTGTAAAATTCACCTTATCAACAATAGAGGGGCTCTTTTGCTCTTATTCCAATCTTTTAGCTCTTCAGATATCTAGTGCATTTTATGAGCTTTTTGTTTTCAAGAAGAAACTTAATGGGAATAGTTTCTACTTGGAAATACACTTTTCTGTAAATGCTGACTCTTGTTATAGAGTTGATTGTTCTTCCTTTATACAGCTCTCCTGATGTACCTGCATTTCTAAGATGTTCTGTCAGGAGAATGCCCAAATGAAAATGACAAGCAGGCAATATATGGAAAGTACTGTAGGAGACACGTGCTCCTCAAATGTGACTACACTCCATGCCCTAAAACCTGCCCAGTGCTCAGAAGCCCAGTATGAGAATACCTTGTTACAGGATCTCATGTCCTATAATTGTTTACTACTGTATAGAGCCAAAACATGTGTGGTTTCTCTATGGGCCCTGACAGCACCTGTCTTCAAAAGAGGGTCTGTTTTCAGAAGAATGTTTTATCCTTTTCGTCTTCTCAAGATGGGGTCGTATACTTGTGTGCCATTGTGCTTTCTTTCTGTTTAAATAGCTCTTTTTTTTGTCAGAGTCACCCATGAACAAGCTATTTGACAAGTTAGGATTTTAGAGTTCCAAATCTTTATTTTTAAAATGACTGCATTTTCAAACTGTGTATCCCGCTTCTAAATTTAGGACAGGCTACTTTTACTTATGAGGGAACAAGTAATAGGTGTATTCCATGATGAATGGAGAAGAAGGAAAACAACGTTTCGGCTGTGGAGCCTGTGTGAAAACTTTGTGTTTTCTTTCTTCTCTTTTCAGCATGGAATACACCTTTGCAGCCTACACATGCTGACACAGCTACCCACCTGAACTACTTTTACTTATTTTGTACTTCTAAAGATTTAAAGTCTTCCTTGATTGAGCAGTTCCCCTGACATTAGTTGAAAAAAATTGGGAAAAACAGAATGTCATCCTTTGTATCTCTTCAGTTGTGATTAGACATAATAATAATAATAATAATAATAATTAATTCATAATTCATTTTAGCTGAGACTTTTGAACTGTTTAGCTCACTGTGTAAGTGAACAAGACAATATTTATGTTGCGTCTCTTTTCTGTAAATGTTGACTTTTGCTAGATTTGCACCTTGAAGCTTTTTCACTGACGTCCTCTGGAGTGGATTTTACTGAAGCAGAAATGAAGTCACCCTGCAGATATACTGTACTGTATATTTAACATTGAACAAGAAATATACATTGCTAGAGAATGTTGCATGTTGATTTCCTTTAGAGCAAGGGTTAGAGCAAGCAAGTTTTTAACTGCGTTCCTAGTATTCCTTGCTTCATGTAGTTTTGTTTTATTGTACTAAACTTTTTTTCATTTATCCCAACTTTTCCCGTGTTTCTCCCCTTTTCCACATTGACTCCAGAGCCACTATTGTTTATTCTTCCACAATTTTAAGAGGTCTCTCCCCTCTTCCCTGTTGCTTCAGTACTCATATCCAAGCCTGCTGCTAAGGAGAGATTTCTGTGTTTGACCTTAAGACGGTTGGTATATTTAACACAGTAATTTTCTTTTTTTTTTAATTGGATATGAAGAAATGACGCTGTACAGATTTTTTTTAGCTCCCAAGTAATTAATTGCAAAATACATTACAATACAACGTAAAAAAAAAACGTTTTCTTGTTAGTCTTAATTAACACACATACTGTACAGCAGGTACAGTAGCCACCAGAGATGTTTTTTATTTTATAGCTGTTATTAAAAAATTGTACAATAAACAAAGTGCTTATTTTTATAGTAGGAGGCAAATACTTTCAGAATAATTTCAGCATGACCTCAGTTACACTGCCTAGTACATTCTAACCTCGTTGACTGGCGAAACAGACATGACAGAGCTGTGAATATACTGTAGCTCCTGCTCAATGTCAGGAGTAGTGACAGCTTTAAGATTCTAGGTTGAAGGCAAAAAAAAAAAAACACTCTACAGCCGAAATCTAGGAGGAACCATCTGGACCTTCATTGAACATAAGATGGCCATCACCATGATGTACAGATACTGCAGTTGACAAAAAATGGAAACACCTAGATAAATGAAGAAAACTAAGTATATTGAAAACAAGGGCAGCCAGTAGGTGTCACCCATGTGTTACTTAAGCAAATAACAGCCCAGTATGCAAAGGGTCATGTATAAAAATACTGAGCTAACTTGGTTGTCAATTATTGTGGTTGCAAGAGGACATCTCAGTAAAGAGGCTGATAGTTGGGGTATATTTCGTAGGAGATTTTAGGAACCAGGAAATCTCGGATTGCTGATGTTTCATGAACAATAGTGTCTGAGGTGATGTCGGCATGGATCTCCAAGGGAAAAGCGTCATCAGCAAAGGGCAACTTTGAAAGGAAGCACACTGTCCAGGACTGTGACATCTGTGCATTAGTTCTAAATGCAATGCAAAACGGATGAGCAGCTCCTTAACTGGGTGCAAACTTCAGGCCGGGGATGCAGCAGGCGGCAAGCTTCAACAACAATGTCCATCTGACAACTCCACAAAGGGATACCACAGTTCCGTGGCACAAAATGCCTATCACACCAGCGGGGCACATTTGTGAGTCCCAATGGTACAAAGCACACAGGCCGTGGACTACTGAGTAGTGAAGAAGTGTTATGATAAATCCCCCTTCATCATGTTCTTGACAAACGGACAACAAACTTTGGCCCTCTGTGCTCGGCTCCAATGGAAGGGTTCTGGTGGGTCTGTAATGGTGTGGGTTGCATTGTCCTGGCATTGTTTGGGTGCACTCATTCCTTCAGAAGGCAAAGTCAATGTGAATCACTACTTACTGGTACCGAGTTCACCCTGTGTTGCCTCATTTCTTGCCTTCCCGCAGGGTATCCTCCAGGATGGCAATGTCAACATCCACAGGAAACATGTGGTCACCAAGAGGTTTGACTGGCGTAATCCACATACCAAGACCTTTCCGATCACCAGATTAATTAGATTAATAGGATATTCTGGAACATCTCTTGTTGATGTGCCGCGATCCTGGAATTCTGTAGAATTCAAGACACTGGTAGAATCGTTGCCACAATGTCTGCATGTGGTGGCCAAACCCCTTATTAACTGACTTTACAATTGGTGTTTCCATTTTTTGTGCAGATATCTTTAATCTTACATTCTATACTCACTAGAGTTTTTTTCACCAATTTGTCAGATTGCTGAAAGGAAGGCCCATTCTATGTGGGTATGTTTCTTCATGCCTTTGTGTGGGATCATGTGCACATCTCTGTTATTTGCTTCTTCTGTAGAACAAGTTTGGTTGATACCAAATGATAGTTTCATTTTGCAGAGCAGACTTCCTAGAAAATGAAGAGGGTGTATCCTTTAACTGCACTTAGATACTTAAATGGTATAATTATAATTAAATGGTAAATGGATAGAGAATTCTGTACTGCTGATGATTCGGTCTGTGCTGCTGTAGCTCCTCAAACTGTTTTGTTCCAAAAGAGGTGGTGATAAACTTATTAAAAGGGGATTCTTAAAGGGTAAGTGTAGCCTTTGTTGTAGCATTCACTCGTCGTGTATACAAAGTTGACAAGCATCCACCTTAATTTATTTTATTTTAAACTAATAATTTATTTAAGGTCGTAGCCAGAGACCTGTTATCATTTTGCATGTTTTCAACTACAGATTGAGCAAAAAGAGAGTTTATACTCAAGGATATCTTTTTGGTTGTGATTGTTTTTGAGTAGCAGATACAGAATATAACTGAATTTACACTGAGCTAGATGTGTGGTTTGAGCCATGTTGTTCTTTCTTTAAAGCACCGAGTTTCTCTGGAAGCAGGAATAGACATTTTCCTAAGAATGGTAATATGAGGAAATATCTGTAAGACTAAACTTCACTTCACTATTTTTTTAGCAGTTAAAAGTTAAAGAACACTGCTACTTCTGCACAAATATGTGATTGTGATTTGCATTACTATGTTCAATACTGCTTACAGCTTCAGAAATCTGGAGTTTCCAAGTGACTCCTGCTTCATAGGAACACTTTGAGACTGGATGAGTGTTTTTTAATTGCCTAAAGTATAATTACTATTCAATTAAGCATTACACCTTATTTCATATTCTCTACTGCAGAAAAATATGAAAAACGTTCATAAATACTATATACTGATGTTTATGATAATATGAGAAACGTTACACAGGTGAAGTGTTCCTTTGACCAATCAAACCCATTTGATATTGCTAATTGATCCAAGGTTCCATTCAGCTGTTTCTGGAAAGAAGCCAGGATATTGGCTTCAGCAGCATGTTTAGATAGCACGTTCCACACTTTTATAACCATTTGTATAAAGAAGTGCCTGCTTTCTGTTTTAAATGCACTTCCATTTAGTCTCCACTTATTGTCCTAGGGTTTGTGTTTCACAGTTTGTCTTGAAGAAGTATGCTGTGTTCATTTTGTCAGTGCCCTTGAGCATTTTGAATAAGTTTCTTAAAACCTTGCAATGTTCCGTGCTCAGTGTAGGACATTCCCTTAAACCTCAGAATGGATCTGGTTTCTCTTCTCTGGATTGATTCTGAGGAGACTTATATATTCTGCAACATAATGACCAAAATTGTACACAATGT